AATACATAAAAAATGAGGACAAACGTTTTCTTACCTTTGTCGCCAACAGGATCTCTGCAATAAGAGAAATTACAACACCATTACAGTGGCGATACATACCTACGACTCAAAATCCAGCAGACTGTTGCTCCAGAGGTCTGAAAGCAGATCAGCTGTTAACAAACAGAGAATGGATCAATGGACCAAGTTATCTGTGGAAACCAGTGGAAGAATGGCCAGCACAAATATTTGATTCTGCTCTTAAAGCAGATGATCCTGAAGTCAAGGTGAACATATGTGTAAATAGCACTCTTGTAAGTGAACAGTCAAATGCTACTCATAGGCTGATTACTCATTTCTCAGACTGGACAAAGTTGAAGGTTGCTGTTGCTTGGCTCTTGAAATTAAAGACAGTTCTGAAACAACGAAGTCAAAAGAGAAAGGAAATTCAAGCCTCTTTAGACTCTTCTGGAGTAACTTCTAAAAAGACGGAGAAAGAACTTCGAAAACTAACTGGTTCTGTGGTTACACCAAATTTAAGTTTGCAGGATGTGAATGAAGCTGAAGTAGCTATTGTTGCATTCAGTCAAAGGCAACAGTTTAAAAAGGAAATCGATGCTCTGTCAGTTTCACCTGTTTCAAAAATAAGCCGAGACAGCAAGCTGTATAAATTGGATCCCGTCTATCAAGACGGTATTTTGAGAGTAGGAGGACGATTGAGAAATTCTGCTATGCCGGAAGAAAGAAAGCATCCGATCATTCTGGCTAAGGATCAGCATATTGCCACGCTCATCTTGCGTCATATACACCAACAGTTAGGTCACAGTGGAAGAAATTATATGCTTTCAGAGCTGAGGAAAAGATATTGGATCATTAAGGGTAATGCAGCTGCCAGAAGGATTATATCGAGTTGTGGCCATTGTAGACGTTTTGGAGTTAAGGTGGGTGAGCAGAAGATGGCAGACTTGCCGAAGGAACGACTCCTTCCCGATTTGCCTCCATTTTCGAATGTTGGGGTGGATTATTTTGGTCCTGTGGAAGTTAAAAGAGGACGCTCCATTGTAAAACGTTACGGAGTCATCTTTACTTGCATGGCAAGTCGAGCAGTTCATCTGGAAGTCGCCTACTCATTGGACACTGATTCATGTATTAACACTCTTCGAAGATTTATCTGCAGACGAGGGCAAGTAACTCAAATAAGATCAGATAATGGTACCAACTTTGTTGCCACAGAAAAGGAATTAAAGGAATCACTGAGATCATGGAATCAAAACAAGATTCAAAGGGCAATGCTCCAGAAAGGTGTCCAGTGGAGTTTTAATCCTCCAGGAGGTTCGCATTATGGTGGAATCTGGGAACGTGTAATCAGAATGGTCAAAAGAATTTTGAATTCCATCCTACATCAGCAGATTTTGGATGATGAAGGATTCCATACTGTACTATGTGAAATTGAGGCCATTCTAAATGATCGCCCAATAACTAAGTTGTCAGATGACCCCAATGATTTGGAGCCACTTACTCCAAGCCATCTTCTTCAGATGAAAGGTAAACCAGTATTACCACCTGGATTATTTGAAAAATCTGAATTATACAGCAAGAGGAGATGACTTAGTGTGACTTATTCTGGAAAAGATGGACAAATGAATATTTGCCTTTGCTTCAAGATCGGCAGAAATGGAATAAGGAAAGGAGAAACTTTGTTCCTGGTGACATTGTTGTCATTGTGGACTCGTCTGCCCCTCGAGGGTCTTGGTTAATGGAGCGAATTCTGGAGGTTTTTCCAGATAAAAATGGACTTGTTCGTTCTGTGCGAGTACAAACTAAAACCAGTGTACTTGAGAGACCCGTGACAAAACTTTGTCTGTTGTATGACAACATGGAAATATAATGGACTGATGGTAAAGACTGTTAAATTTGACACCTACACGGAATTGATTAATGCAATGTTTATAGTGTTGCTTTAATGGCTCTTTGTATGTACATTGTTGAATTGTTATGTCCACCTGCCATGTACAATTAGGGGCCGGGGTGTAAGAGCCATTATGTTTTTTGTAATGCTGTTTTTGACCGCTGGGTGGAGTGGGGGTTTGGAAGAGTATATAGGTAGACAAAGACTTAGAACAACAGGTGTGTAATGAGAGGGAAGCACAACATTTTTTGACCGTGTTTGAAAGAGCTTTATGGAGGCATTCAATGTGATTTTATGAGCATTTATATACCAGACTGTAAGTGGAAATTGAGCCATAAGAACTGTCTGTGCAAAAAATAAATCTGATAAGCAGTATTTGAAGGATGATTCGTTTGTTGAGCTCTCACGCGTCAGAAACAACTCTACAACACCTCAAGTGACAAAATGGTCATTTGTGTCACTACACTCACGTTGTTCCATAGTCCTCTTTACTTTGAGTAAAATAGTATTACATTGAATAAAGGGTTAAAATAATATTGTCAACAGCAGGAACATCATTTAGTATTGGATGAAAAACCTGAAACTTTAATCAATCGCTTTATATCTGTGTAAAAGCTTTAAAACAAACCTTTCTCCAGTTGATTCACTTTTTTTGTCATAAGAAAAAATATCTAAAATAACATACAAATACAAATAATACTATTAGAAAGAAAGGAGAAAATATTAATATAATTAAAGTATTAATAATACTAATAATACTAAAATTACTAAATGAAACAAACAAAATTAAACAAATGAATGAAATTACAATGACACTTAAACAAATCACCATAAGAAAAGCAACTAAAATCTACTAAAGCAACTAAAAACGAGAATCTTCTTTAAATACATCTACATAATATTTCAGGAATCATTCAGGAAACATTTTTTTTTATTGTTAATAAGATGAAGTGATTTTAGGAGAGTGTTAAATTCTATTCTAAAATGAGCAAATGATGAGTAATTATTTGTGAATTTCTGTTTGTGAATGAAAAATTTGCCATATAAGATAAAAAAAAATGTATGATGTGTTCCAGGGATTTAGCTTTTGGGTTATTATAATAACAATAATGTCTTTTAGATTAAAGCAATTCACAGCATTGGCAAAAGTAGATATATGCAAATTTAGGAGTGACCAAAATTGCTTGGATATTGGACAATCAAAAAACATATGTACAAGTGTCTCATATGTACAAGTGTCTCCTCTGCTTGTTTGCAGAAAGAACAGGAGCTGTCGATGTCAAAAAATTTGGAAATACTAGAATTTTACAGGATAGATTTTCTGTACAATTTTAAAGTGTATTTCTTTTGCCTTGTTGGAAATGCAATATTTCCCAGGTAAAAGCCAGGTTCTAGTCTATATTCTCAATCAAAGACCTCCAGTAACACTTTCCTCTAAAATAAATTTTCCTTTTAAATTAAAAATTTGACACACAAAGCTATTGTTTCATTTCTTATCTAACAGACTAACACCTTCTAAAAGCAAAGGAGAATGAATATTCACTGAGCTCCTCGAGTTAAATCTACATTAACACAATTTTGTTTAACTTATATATTCCAACTAGACTAAGTGTTTAAAGCAAAAAAATCCCAGCATTCTAAAATGTATAACAAATAATCTGATGGGTGTTTTGAGCTGAAACTTTACAGACACATTCAATGAAATACTATTTTACTCACAGTAATGAGGACTATTGAACAACGTGTGTGTAATAAGTGTCTTACTGGAGCTTTAATTTATTAAACAGTATAATGTCATTCCATTCTAAGTTTACATCACTTTATATAAGAAATGGAGTACTAGTTTTAATCAGCTCATTTGTGGCTATAGTTTCTTGCTCAGACTTATCTGATTTCTTTTTGTTAATTACTTTCATAAGAAAAAGATAAGTTATTTTCTTTCTGTTCATTGTTTTATTCATTTTACATTTTTATTGCTTTGTTAATTTTTAACAGGATAAAGTGTCCAAACGCAGAGAAAAAATATATATATGTCATGACTAGTTAGAAGAACTAAAACATGTAGTAATAATGAATATTTTTTACATGAAGGACACCTATTTTACCTCCTTTTCTGTAAAGTTTCAGCTCTAAACACTCATTAGATTATTTGTTATACCTTTTAGAATGTTGAGATTTTTGCTTTAAACACTTAGTCTTAGTGGATTAAAAAAGTTTTTTTAATTGTCTTAAAATGTTTAGAGTAAAGGTTTTGATCAACTCCAAATACTGAATATATGTGCGTCTGTGAGAAAATGGAAACGAGGGAGAAATGTATCAATAAGTCAAGACTGCAACAGTAAGTGGCAAAAGGGTTTTTAAAAAAAAAAGAAAAAAAGACTTTTATTTTGGCGTGACGTGTGACGTCATAAGCCTGCGCCGTTCCAGCGCTGTGATTTAACTGGAGAAAGGTTTGTTTTAAAGCGTTTACACTTATATAAAGCGATTGATTAAAGTTTCTGTTTTTTTTTTATTCAGTGCTAAATTATGTACCTGCTGTTGATAATATTATTTTACCCTTTATACAACATAGCCCTCATTAATGTGAGTAAAATAGTACTATTGTTTGAATAAAGATATGATAACCTTTTTGTCCCTGAGAGGAAATTTGTCTAGTGCAAAAAAGTGCTACACATTGCTTTAAGCAGACAATAAGCTAAATAAAACAAACAAAACGATTAAGAACATACATAAAGAATAAAGTTTAAAAAGTTACAGAGATTTGAGTAATAAGTTTCCTTATTGAAGGTTTAATTTATTAAACAGTATAATGTCATTCCATTCTAAGTATACAACACTATATATAAGAAATGAAGTAATGTTACTAGTTTTAATCAGGTCATGTGTGGCTATTGTTTCTTGCTCAGACTTTCCTGATTTATTTTTTGTTAATTACTCTTATATAAAGAAACTGTTGAAGTAAGTGTTAAGGAGAAGTTATTTCATTTCTGTTAATTTTTTTTGTTTATTTTAAGCAGGATAAAGTGTCCAAACGCAGAGAAAAACTCCAGCTGAAGCGACTGATCTCCACACTGTTATAAAGATGGCATTTATTAAAGTGGAGAGTGAAGATGTGAAGATTGAAGAAACATTCACAGTCAAACAGGAAGATCTGCAGGAACAAACAGGTTGGTTTTCATTCTCAAAGACCAACTCGGTCATTTAATCCTCATTCAGATATATTTTAATAGTAAGAATATTCAATTAAATCCATCTTGCAGCCCTGAGTGTGCTGCCTAGTTCTCCTAAATGCACATAAGCACTCATGAGCTATGTTTCCATCCAAAAATGCAAATTAATATTATGTGCAAAACAGGATCAAATGAAAATCATCACTTCCTGATTAACTGGCGCCAAATATCAACAATGAAAATGGAATTTGCTGCGATAAGAGAAGCTGCATCAATAGCCGCGTTTCCACTATCATGCCTAAAGTGAGCGAGCCAAGGCCAGTCACGTTTCCACTATCACTTCCGGGGCCAAAGCGGGGCTTTCTCGGGGCCAGCGGCCAGCCGTTTTCAGCCCGCCGAATACCTTGGGCCAAAGAGGGCTAGCTGGGGCGGAGTGAAAGGAGAGGCAGACACTAGTTTTCCGATCGCACACGAGTACATGCACCAAACAAATAACCAAATAAAAAAATAAGGGAAAGAAAACATCTAGCCTTTTAGTCTGGGGTCTTTTTGTGTATAATCGCCCTTTTGTTTCCCTTTTAAATGTAAGGCTGTTGCATAAAATAATAAAGTTTACATTTATAAGTGACTTTGCTGCATCCTCCTTGATGTTTCAATAACGCATAATAATCTTTACACCGTATTTAAGACACAGCAGACAGTAAAGGTTATCGAGAGTTTTCATCAAGTTTAAAAGGTGTTTGTGCACGTTTAGATGCCTGGATGTGAATGTTAGACCGAGCAAAAGAGCGCTCTCTTCACAGCTCTGTTGATGCTGCGAGCGGCTTCTGTTTTTATTTATTTTGAAGATAATACATAACATAAATACAACAGAAAGACATTAAACTTTACAAATTTCGTGTCCATTTTTGTAGACTCAAAAACAATAGTGTCATATCCTAATAAAATAGCCTAAGATATATTGAAATAATTTAAATAATTACAAATGTCGCATATAATAAAATCACATAAAATAAATAAACCAATATAAAACAAATAAAATCTATTTATAATAATTTAGGTAGCCTATAAACAGTACATAAATCAAACCATTTAAAGCCATATTAAACTTTCATTTTACAAAAAGGCCTTGTGGCGAGATGGATGTTTTAATGTTTATTTTTCTCAAGTGCCACTAGGGGGCGCTGCTCCGACCGGTCCTTCCTATCGCTTCCAGACAATACTTCCGGGGGTCGGGAGGAAGCGGAAGGTCATGTAAACAATTGGAGATTATAAAAGAGGGAGAAAAGGCCAGAGAGGCTTCTGGTTGTTTTTGGTGTCGGGTATTTGGTGGCAAGAATTGGAGAAGGAGGAGAAGAACGGTGTAAGGTGGAGAGCTTGTTGGTTTCAATGACTGTGTGAGGAAAAAACTGAGGGGTGGAAGCAATTCGTGGACGTGGTGACCAGGCGATCTCTCTAGTATTGTGTGCGAGGGGTCTGAAATTCTGATGGGAAAAGTGGACCTGTGCAGAACGGCTTCGGTGTCCCTGGGTCAGTAACTTTTGTCCATTTGCACCCACTCATACACCTACACATTCCACACACATTACAGCTTTATCACATAGGCTTTCTTTACATTTTTCTTTCCTCTCTTGTTTCCATTCGATCAGACACACATTATTATTGTTTGTTTGTTTGTTTGTTTTCTTTTGGGTTATCTAAACATTATTATTGAAGTGTTTGAATTGTTTGTTTGTTGTTTCCTTTTCATTGTACTGGTTGTTAAAAATATACCAGTTAATTAATTTAAAGTGTGTGTTGGGTTATCTTTATTTTCTTCTCTTTGTGTGTATGGTGGTTGAGTGTTTGCCGCGGCTATCCAGGGTTTTAATTTAATTTTTGGCAAGTTAATCTTGTCTGGCGCCCAAAGATTTATTAATTCTGGTAACTATTTATTTTTTTTTTTTGTTTGAGGTCCGCTGGCAGTGGGATTAAGGGACGTGTGAAAGCCAGCTAGTGCAGTACCCACGTGGACCAGCGGTTGAGCGTTCGGCTGCGGTGCAGGAGGTCCCGTGTTCGAATCCCGCGGAGTTCAGTTTTTTGAGATTTGAATTATTATTATTTTTTTCTTATTATAAACTGTATATAAGATTTATTTATTACAAACAACCACCGTCACATAAGTGGCGCCCGAACAGGGACCCTGAACACTTAAAAAAAAAAAAAAAAAAAAAAAACTGAACACTTTAAAAGACATTAAACACCATTGAAACCTTACTTTATTTTGGGAAATTTTGAACTTTGAAACTCATTTGAATTGTTTGACTGATTTCAGTTGACAACAACCTTTTTGACTTTTTGAACTGTTTTGCTTTACTGACAAAGACTTTGGAAAAAACTATTTTGTTAAAAAAAATAATAATAATAATTGTTATAGAACATTTGTGTCATTGTACAGGAATTGTACTGATTTTGAATACCTTGTGAATTTGGTACTTGTGGTACTTTTGATATATCTCTCTCTATATATATATATATTTTGTGACCACATTGCCTAAAAAGTCAACATTTTCTTTTTTGATTTTGATTTTTTCAAAACCCTTAGATTGCACTCATACACACTATAAACATGGCCAACGTCAATCATTCCCCTTCAACTTCCGTGGATATTGATCCACCAGATATAGCCACTCCAGTTTGGCCACCAGTGCAGCAAAGACAGTTCTCATCACCTTCCAACATTCCCACATACCACTCCACACCCACTCAATTAGACCCTTATGGAAGGACTCAAGTGCATTTCCACACCACCACTCCAGGTGTTACTTCTACAGTTCAACCTGACCCAATGCAACTGTGCACAAGTGCATCCACGGTAGAATCACCGCCCTCCACAGCAACCCAGCATGCTCTTCCTGGATACCTCCCTACACCTGGAAGAGAAATTCATCAACTTACTGCTCATGTACAAGGAAACTGGGATCGTGTATTTGACTGTCTGAAACGGCAAGATAAAGCTGTGAAGGAACTCACCGAAAAATCGTCTAAATCTTTTTCCCTGCATGAAGCAAAGCTTGCAAAAATGGAATCCACTCTTCAGCAACTCCTGAACACCTTAACTGCACAACGAAAAGATGACACAGAGACAGCGGATCAACTCACTAAAGCTGTGAAGGTGATGGTGACACAAGAAATCCAAAGAAGTGAAAGTACCTTAATTTCAGAGATTCGTTTCATGGTGGAACAAGCTCAACTGGAATTGCAGAAGGATATTCGAGCTACCAAGGAACACTCTGACAAGAATTTTGAACGCCTTTCCAGTGATCTAAATCACTGCAGCACTGAAATTAATGCCATAAAAAACCAACTTGACAATCTTCAAACAGAAATAAGTGATGTCATCCCACCTATAAAGCAAGTGTCTGATCCTCCAAGCAGTGCACCTGTATCCGTTTCAACACAGTCTTCATCTTCAGTGACTGCTCCAATGCCTTTTCAAACACCTGTTATAAAAAGTGATCATTTAAAGTTAACTTTTCCAACGTTTGGAAGACCTTCGGATGATGCTGATCCACTGCTATATGTAACACGCTGCAAAGATTTCCTGGCCTTACACCCTCTAGATGATCCAGACATCCTAGCTACCTTCCGCACTGTCCTGTACGGTACAGCCCGGGATTGGTGGGAAGTGGCTCGCTCTGCTATTTCCACATGGAGTGAGTTTGAAACTGCTTTTCTCTCAGCTTTCCTTTCAGAAGACCATGAGGATGAGCTGGCAGAGAGGGTTAGAACTAGAACACAAGCAGAGAAAGAGTCAATTAGAGACTTTGCTTTTACATACAGAGCAATGTGTAAACGATGGAAGCCCACACTAACTGAGAGTGAATTAGTAAAAATGATTCTAAAAAACATAAAACCTCACCTAGCCAGCCAACTTCGAAGCCGTGTCCATACAGTGGATGAGTTGGTTAAACTGGGCCTTCAGCTTGAGAAGGATTATGTTCAGCAGTTACATTATGTAGAACATGTGACTCAACCCTCACCACAAAGAATTGCCCCCAACCGAGTTGAGAAACCTCCAGTTTTGTGTTGGAGATGCAAAGGTCTGCATCCACCAGGTAGTTGTCCTCACTATTCCTCCTCTGTGCAAACCACTCAATCATCTAGTCACCCTCCTCCTACTGGAAATAAACGTCATTTTCAGACCCAAAAGCACGGAGGTAATCCATCTAACAATGCCATGTCTATTACACTTCCTTCAAAGTTATTACCCAAGTCGACTGTTACTAAATCTGTGGTCATACCACAACAGCTGATAGTTCCAATTTACATTGGGGCTTGGAGAGGAAAAGCCATATTGGATACGGGTGCCAGTTACACTTTACTCCATGAGAGTTTGTGGAAGGAGATCGATCCCCAAGCCAGCCTCCATCCCTGGACACTTGGCCCACTCTATCTGGCCAATGGAGAAGCCGAAGTTCCTTTAGGATGGACGAATTTTGAAATCATATTGCATGACAAAGTTTTTCCTACTCAAGCTGCCATTCTCACTCCAAAAGCCTTGGCTTACTCTGTAGTCTTGGGTTTAGATTTCATTTATTCAAGTGGTCTACAGATTAATGTAGTTGACCAGACATACTCTTTTAAGTCCAACCCTAATGAAGAGTACCCTTTTCAACCTGGACATGCTAGTGTTCCTGTGGGAAGATCCCAACATTTGAACAAAAATGCACAAACCCAACATTCAAGTAAGACACTATCTCTGCTCAGCTCTATTCCTCCACCATTACCGTTTCCAGTAGTATCCCAACTTGCACCCAGTAGTGATGATCAAGCTCTGATTGAGATGGCTGTTGCCGAAGCACACTTACCACTAGAAAGTAAGCCACAGTTACTTCATCTTCTCCAGTCAAACCCAAAAGTCTGTACTCTTCAGCTTGGAAGAACCACTGTTCTTCAACATTGCATTTACACCACTCACCCAGTACCCGTTAAGCAACGTCCTTATCGGTTGACAC